ACCCTCCTTGGGGTCCAGTGGGGATCTGTGGGTGGCAGGGCCTGTGCTTGGCTGTGCCAGGAAAGCCTGGGAGAAGTGCCCAAGCTCCCCCCGCCTGTGCAGCCACCGATGGCCTTCCTCTCCCTGGGGAGCTGCCAGGATTCCCTTTTTGCCCACCACCTTGTGCTGCCCACTGCACTGCTGGCAGTAAACACCTCTCTGCCTATCCCTCCCTGCTGCCGGCCTCTGGAGGGATGCTTGGGTGCTGGTGGAGGTCACCCAGAGCTCACCAGAATAGATCTAGAGCTCCCCATTAACAAAACCCCAGGGCACTGCCAAACCTGGGGTGGGTGGGGACACCCACATCCCCTCCATGGGTGCTGGGAAAGAGGGAGGCTCCTGGAGTGAATCCAGCTCATGTACACCACTAAGGAGGGGCCGGGACACCTGGCAGCCAGGGTTAGCCTTTAACCACCCAAAACACAGCACAGAGGGAGAGGAAATTCTTGAGGCATCTATAAACATAAAAGGAGTCATACTTTACATTTGGTCCCACTTATGGCTTATAAATGATTACTGCACCTTTTAATAAATGGTTAATCAAGTGTTAGAGTCCAAACAAGTGGATGGGTTGCTTATTACCACGGTTTATAACCTTTTATGAATGCCTTCTGTCGATGTACTTATAAACATCCATACCACGTACTTCTCGTGTCTTGACATGTTGGTCACATCTGTTTGAAGTTTATTAACTCTTGAGCTGCTCGCCAACAGCAGGCTGGGGGGATCCCGCTATTTTTCTGTATCGATCCGTGCGGCTCAGGGAGCACACCTGTGTGGGAGGCACCAGCTGAGGGACAGTGTGGACATCCCCCTTCATCCGAAAGGGGCTCGAGGCAAGCAGGATGCAGCCACATCAGAAATAAGTTGACAGCAGGGTCTCATGGGTGCTTTTTTTTTTTTTTTTGCCACCAGGACAAACAGCCAAGGGAAGTTGGTGGTAGATTCTTCCTCTCTTGAAGTCATCGAGCCAAGACAGGATGTCGTCCTGGACTATCTGCTTGAATCAAAAACGCAAGTTACTGGGCTCAATGTGAGGGGAATTGGGGAAATTCTCTGGTTTGCAAACACGGGAGGTTAAACGCGATGATTTAATGGGCTCTTCTGGACAAGAAATCCACGGAAACATCCCTGGCCATTGCTGTTCCTGTGCAGCTGAAACCCCCCTCCCGTTGTGTTGCAAATAATGAAATGAAACGTTCAACAAGCTGAATAATCAGAAAACAATTTTCCAATAAAATCATTCCCCGAAATCTCCTTTTAAGGCAAGGACTGGGATTCCCACTGCCGAGCGTGTTCCTGACGCCTCACATTATTGTTCGGCTGGCTGTGCCAGGGCTGGGCAGGCTGCCACGCCACCCCGCACCCCAGGGATGCTCCCCGTCACACAGCCCAGCTGCCCCTCCACTCCTGAGCCCCTGTTGCCTTTATTTTTCCCCCTCTGCTCCAAGCTTCAGATAATTTTCCCATTCAAAAAGCAAGCGGGAAGTATGAGGTGCCACAGCGTTGTGCTTGCTCCAGTGTTTTTAAGAGCCAGAGAAGGGATTTGTGCATTAAGCAGACAAGGATGGTCCCAGCCCGGGTGGGAAGCTGGGTCTCCCAGGTCGCCTTGGCCTTGGAACTCCTGGAGATTTTTTTATATCCAACCATGCTTTTTCCTTTGCCTCCTGCTGTCCAGTCCTTCTGGAGCAGGTACTCCATCTCCTGCAGCAGGAGCATCTCCAGTGTGGGGCAACCTTGCTTGCTGCCCTCCAGAGGGTTATGGTTTGTGTCCTGGAGTGTGGAAAGTTTGAGGAAATGTGAATGATAGGAAAGGACATTAAAAGTACTCCTCCCCTTGGAAAAACAAATCTGAACCTGAAGTACTATTTTTTGGAAAGCCACTGTGGCAATGGCTGCTGCCTGAAACACGCCCACAGGCAGTGCATCCCTGTAGCAGGTGAGTGGTGGAGGACCAAGGAGACAGAGCCTTCACTGAGGCCACTCTAGCTGAGCCACGGGGGCCTGTCTAAATGCTGCTGCAGTTAATGTGAGTGATGAGATGTCAGGAAAGGTAAAGCCATTTTTTTCTCTGATGCAAACTCTGCCTGACAGCAGGAACAGTTGCTCCGAAAGCTATTTGGAGAAGCTGGAACTTCTGGACACACCATGGACATCCAGGTAGGGAGCTGGGGCATGCAGGAGGCTTCCCTACAGTCTTTTCCCACTTCTGCCAGGTCCTGGTTTCCTGCATCAGAAGGTGAGGCTGTGACTAGCAGTGGAGCAAGGATGCTTGCTGGCTGCCTGGTGTCACCGAAGCTCAGCTGTGGAACTGAGGGTGCTTGTCCTGTGCCAGAAGGAGCAGCAGGGCCCAGCCCAGCCTGGCTGCTTTGGGCCCCTCTCAGGAGCCGGGGGTGTTAATGTGTTAGGTCCTGCACACCGGGTTGTGTTGGGAGCCTTTCCTCTGCACTGAGGTGCTGCCACAGGTGACTGTGCCAGCTGGGCAAGAGAGCAAGCAGGAAAGAAACAAGGTAGAAAGAGCGGAGAAAGAAAAATCCAAAGGGACCTAGTGTGCTGATCCCCTGCAAACCCACGTTTCTGGGTGCTGCATGACACATATTTGTGGTCCTGGGGGCTAAAGCATGGAAAACCCCTCCTTCCCATATCTGCACCCTCCTGCCATAAGCTGGGCAACATGCTGTGGGATGGGGACATGCCATGGGAAGAGACATGCTGTGGCGGTGATGCTTTGGGAGGGGGCTTGGGAGTCAGAACCATCCCTGGGTGCCCAAGTTCAGCACAACCAGTGCCCATGTTGACTCTGTCCTGGGTGGTAAGGGAGCACCACGGGAGTGGGAGCCCCTTGCCTTGGGGGATGCTCCTTTGTTCCACCCATGGGGCCCCATCTCTCATCCCATCCCATCTCCTCTCCTGCTTCACAGGTGCACCCTCTTCACCACTGAGGTTCCCAGGCACCACCATTCACTTTTCAGAAGGGAAATGAGCCCCAGCCCTCCCTTCACACTCCAGAAAAAAAACACCAAGAGAGGAGAGAAATAAACAAACAAATCCCTTCCCTCTCCTGGCTTGGCATCTGCTCACAGCCCTTCCATTATTAATTAGAGAAGCTGCCGGCATTATTAGCAACAAACCGCTCCTAATGAAGTTCAGAGCCGCAGATCCAGGAGGGGCTCCCAGACACTGCTTTTCAGAAACCTTAATTAAATTCAGTGCCCGAAGGTGCTTTTGGCTGGGGTGGAGGCAGAGCAGTGAGGCTCCTGGAGCTGGGCATGGCCATGCCGGCGGTGGGGTTCGAGGAGAAGGGTGTCAGCGAGAGAGGGGCACCCCATGGTGCCGCAGCTCCAGGGACACCCCATCTCCTCTGGATTTGGGGCTGCACAGAGAAATCAGCTGGGATGCAGTGTTGCAAAGAGGGTGCTGCCTGGCCACCCCAGGAATGGGAAAAGTGGATGGTTTAATTCATTGATTAAATCAACCGAGCGGCCGGCGATGAGGGTTCCCAGCACTATGTGAGCTGTGGGGTCCCTTGCTGGTCCCAGCTCTGCCGTCATTGCTGGGATGTGCTAAAGGGGTGACCCTGTGCTTGCACATGCTTTAAGAACTGGGAAGGCAAGAGGCACAGGGGATCTTTGCCAATGGAACAGCTGTAGGTGGCCTCTCACCCCCTAAACCGCTGCCTCCGTAAATAACCTTGCTGGAGAACCCAACTGACTGACAAGGTGTCCTCAAGTGACACGATGAAACCTGGCCAAGCTGCGGTGATGTTCCCTTCAGCATGTCCAGCATGGGCTGCTCTGCACTAGCAGAGCTTGGAGATCCCACTGCTTTGCTTTGGGGCTGGGGCAATTTGTGTCTAGATATGGCTGTAGGAGGGGTTCTTAGGGAAAGAATGGTTTTCACCCCAAACTTCAAAAGAAAACAAGTCCTTGCAGAAACCCATTCCACCAATTGCTCCCCTTGTGATGCAGGGTGGGCTCAGATAACACCCACAAAGAGCAATGGCAAAACCTGCCCAAAGTTGGATTTTGGCTCCCTGCACATCCTTTCTTTCCCCTACTACCCTTCCTCTGCACACAGCGATCTCCCTTCCCCCCCAGATATTCCACCCTTTCTCTCTGACCTTAAAGGCATTTATTACTGAGGAGTGTAAAAATATTACTGCAAAATCATTCTGCGTTACTGGGAAATCATTGAAACATTAGCTCAGTAATATTTTTTCATAAGTGTTTGCTGTGTCTCTTCCCTGACACATTCAGTCTCTGCGCGCACATCCACACCCCCACAAATCCCACTGAAGCCAGGAGGTGCTTGGCAGAGCGCAGGATCACGGACCTGACCCGGCACTCACCCCAGCTCCCTCCTTCCCGTGCCGGTGGACAAAGTTGCCATCCCTCAGCCAACTGGCTGCATCCTTGGACCCACGTGCAAGCATTCCGGATCCCAGCTTGTCCAAATGGCATGGAAAACTCTGGCTGTCAGGGCACTCAGGCTGCCTTGGCTCAAGGATTTTTGCCAGAGGATACTCATGGAAGATCTTAAACCTGTTAGGGCCTGGGACTGGCTCTTTTGCTGATTATTTTTGGGAAAAGAAAGATCCCTTTCCCTCCCACACTTGCACTCAAGAGGTCTGGGCAGCAGATCTCACTCCCCTGGGGCCAGGGGGAAAAGGTGCCAATGAGGAGAAGAAGGGGCTGCTGAAGCAGCCACGGGGCTGAGCAGGAGACAGTCAGTCCCATTGAGTTGCTCACAGAGAAGGACACTGACAATTCTGCAAATATGTTTAATGCACTTAGAATACACGGGAGGAAAAAAACGTTTAGTGATTCACAAAAATATTACAAAAAGTCATGTGCAGGCGAAACACACCCAGCACTGCAATAACAATGTAAGAATTTACATTAGAAACTAATATAAAATATTTTAAAACCTCTGCTAGTTTAGCTTTCCATTTGTTTTTTGTCTTTTATTAAAAAAAAGGAGGAGAGAGGGAAGAAAGGCCATCTACAAGGTACTGATACACCGGCTGCAGAAACGCAGGCTCCTTCCAGCCCCTTCGGGAGTGTCCTGGGGCTCCTCGATCCACATGACCCTGTGCCCGCAGACCACACACACACACACACACACACACAAACACACTGCTTAAGTACAGAAAGGTTCACCTCCAGGCTCAAGGGCAGCCCCAGCGGTCAGGGTTCACTGTGGTCCTGGTCACCCATGTGTGCCCTGCCCAGGGAACCTTGCCTTTGCTCTAGGATTTACAGAAATCAACCAGCACACAAAACAAGTAGTGTTCCCAGCGAGCAGCAAAACTTCTGTAATTTTAATAAAAGGGAGAAGTTGGTAGTCCAGCCTACACTAGATGAGAGAAGGGTTTTGAATGACTAAACTTGGGTTTGGAGCATGACTGTGGCCAAACTCAGAGTATCAGGACTACAGGGCTGGATGTGCGGAAGGAACATCCCAGCATGGGGGCCAGGGCACTGCTGTTAGCCCCTAGTGGGATGCTGCCTGCTTCCATGGAGTTGCACGTTCCCACTCTGGGGAAAGCCAAAAGCCCAGAGCCCCCCAGCCTGTGATCAGCCCCTACTGGAATGACATGGCCACTCATACCCACTTCCCCTTCCTCTGCCCCCACGGGTTTTGCATCCCGCTCACTGCCACAGGAGGAACGGTGCAGGAGCCTTGTCACCAGCACCACAGAGTCCTTCTGCGCCCATCCTGCTCCCAGCATTGTCAACACATGCTGTGTTTACGTAGGACCTACCGCACACGGTGACAGCTTGGTCCCTCCCACCCTCACCACTCATGCAGCGGAGGGTTTCCGGAGCCGCACTTTCGCTGCAGTTGGGCCCCAGGGAAAGGAACAAAGGAGCCATTTTCATCTCCAGCCTCGCTGGGAGTGGAGGGAGAGGGCAAGAGAAAAGACCAGTGTTTGCAAAACACAACAATCGGCAGGAAATTTTCCTCTGGCTTGTTTTTTTTCTCTCTCCCTCTTTTTAAAGAGGGCAGACACAGCATCAGGACAGTTTAAAAACAACCAGGCACTGGCCTGTCACATCTGCCACATGCAGCCCTTTCTGGGCTGATGTTTCTCTCCTGCTGTCGGGGCTCTACGAGCCAAATGGTGAATAGTCTTTCAGTGAGGGAAAGAGAAGGGATACCCCCTTCAGAGCACACTAGAAATGATGTTTCTGAACTGATCTGCCACTTAGGATAATTTTATGGTCTGTCAGCGATTTTAGGGGAAACAGAACTATGGTAGAAATGAAGAGGTGGTGAAGCACAATACACTCCAGGTTCTCTGCCTGAGAGAGACAAGTCAATGCGGGACCAGGTTTAAAACACATTTGCAACCTCAGGCCTATTCCCCATTTGAAATTTTGGACTCATGTCAAACACAAGGGTTTTTTTTTTTTAAAAGAAAAGAGAACAAGCAGACACTGCACAACAGAAAAAATGTCGTAAGAATAGGAGGTTGAAAGAGAGCCCATTAGGTCCCAGAGACCTAAATCCAGCTTTAAAATCTTGGGAGGTGAACCTCAGAGGCAAATGTGGATTTTGAGATTGTTTTGGATACAGTCTGGCTGTTGTGCAGGCTGGCATTTATCGATAGGGACAGATGCACAGAAAGGAATTTCTGGTTGCCCAACAATTTGAGCTGCCCTTGCAGCCTCACTCACAAGAAAAATTAAGGCACAATGTATTCTCTCAGGGGAGTGCAGTTACATAGAGGACCGAGTCCCCCGGAGGTGGAAGGGCTCTCCTGGTGCTGGAGCCCCTCCTCAGCTGGCTGTGATGGCACAGGGGCTGAAGCCTAAGACTTCATACAGAGGAGCCACAAGGTGCAAGGCCATGCCCTGGGCAAAGGGAAAATTGGACACATGGGTCTAAGGGTTTCCTCTGGCCCGTAGCTTTTCTCCTCAGTTGACATGATGCTGCCCTGCCCTGGCCAGATACAAGCTGGAAAAGCGGGACTCTGGATGCCCATCTAGGAGGAGGGAACAGTCATCAGGACAGATTAACAGCCGAGCAACCACAATCCCATGCCAACCTGTGAGCTAACCCAGCATCCTGTGAAACATGCAGTCAGCCAAACATTTTCCAGTGAACATTTTCCAACACAGCCGTTCACAGAGACGTGAACACGGTGGGATGTGCATGGCTGGATGCTTGCACCTGTGCTGGACCTCTGTGGGTCCTGGCATGGAAATGAGGACTGGCCTGCAGGGATCCCGTGCTGTGCTGAGGGACCGATGATTCCCACTTTGGTTTCCAGCTTCCCTTGCAGCTCCACTTGCAGCGCCTGAGACGCGTAAGCACTGCACTGCCTTGCCTGCACTGCACTGCACTGCCACTGAGCTGTGGGTGCAGGAGGGGGGCTGCTCACCTGCTGCCCCACACACACCTCTCCCCAGCAATCTGCCCGCACAAGCCAAGCATCACTTTCAACTGGGGTTTTAAAAGATATTTCTACTGGTCACAGATGAAAAACAACACAACCCTCACTTCTTCCAAGACTATTTGATGACCTGATGGTGTAATTTCAAAAGCCATCCATGAGCAACTGAATATCTGAAGTGAAGAGCTTCAGAATATTTCAAATCACTGTTGGCAAATTCACATACAGTAGAACTAGCATATTACCATCCTCAAAGACATTAGACGCAGCAGGCACCACCTAAGCCACTGAAAGTATGGGCACAGCAGCTACAAGACTGACTGCTCCACTCAGATCACATCCTACATACTTTAATACTGAAATGATACACTCCTTGCCCTGTTTTTAATCAGAAATTGAGAGGGAGAGTAGTCCTGGCTTTTAGACCTTCTCCTGTTTCAGAATTGCTGTCACATGTTGGATTTTCAAGGCTCTTCATCTTTTGAAATATCCTGATTGACCTGCATTGCTGGATTTCTCCAGAAGGGAGAAAACCTGTACGTGCTGCTTTCGTTTCCATCCAGGTCACTGTCTTTAGCTAACACAAGCCTCAGAGGTTTTGGTTCCATACAAACCTGCTTCAGACCTTCTACGCAATCTAGGAAAAAATCAGCACCAGTGGACCTACCATCTCAGCAGGTTTGGGCTAGAAAAATACTGTGGTACTTATTAACACTGATGCATTTCCCTGTTTCAAACTACTTGCTCACTAAAATACAAAGGTTTCTTTTCCATTTCCTTCACACACAGGCATATCCTCTTGCCCCAAGATGAAAATATCCAGACTTGACATCTCATTTACTTGCCAATGAGTAAGTTTGCACAGTTGCAAACTTCATGTGAATTGGGGAGGGGAGGTCCTGTGGGTGCCCAGCTCTTCATGATACAGAGTAATGTGCAACTTCCTTATTCTTAGATAACTTGCTGAGAGGCAGCGACGTGACCTGGGAGCTTAAGAGCTGACTTTCACCAGGTTCTCTCTTATAATTGGTCTACCAATTAGACACATATTTCTATTTTAGCAGTTATTTGTCTAATATTTTCCCCCTTAACTAAATAGGAAGATTTCACTTCCTTCCCTTCAAGCCTTCCCCTCAATTGTTATCTGGCTACCAGCAACGATCTGTGAGAAAGTGTCTCAGAAATAGAGATTTCTGGCATGCCACCTGTTCATAACTCAAATACACAGAACTATATATAAATACATGACATGGAACAAAAATACACACACACACAAGGATCCTGGGTGGATTATCAAAATGCATTCAGCCTGCTCCCTCTGAAGTCAATGAAAATCCAACCCAGAGTGTCCGATGAGAGTAAATATGGTGAGGAAAACATATGCATGAGAAAGGCAGAACTGAAGCACAAGGCAGCTTGGAGGAGGTGCTTTCCCTGCGTACAGCACCACATCCCTGCCGCCAAGGCTCAAAGAGTTCATAGGGCACGAGGTCCCAAGCTTTCCAGATGTGTGTCAGAGCTCAGAGAGGGTCTGATGGACTTCTCTCTGTTCCGTGCTGATCTCTGCAGGAACAGCAACAATTGACCTTCCAAATGTCCGTTCTCCACTAAGATGTGGATTTAAAGCTCCTTTTAATGAGAGCTAGCATCTGGAAACAAGGAAGAGCAGCCAGCGTGGTGGCAACAGGCCAGCTCTGCTGCAGGCACCCCCAGCAAGCTCGTACAAGAGCATCCATGGGCTACTGTTGGCGGATGGCTTTGGGACAAAATTGTAGTTGCTGCCCTTGCCTTTTCCCCCACTGCCACAATCATCTGTTTGTTCGTTATCTTGCAGCGGGACACTTGGGCACGTCGTTTCTGAAGCTAGACTGGTACATTTTCATGCCGCTTTCTCACCCACGCTGTCCCTTGCATATACATCTACAGTACAGAAGGGATGCTTACTGCTAACCAGGACAATGAAAACTGGCCAAGAGATCCCACGGATGAATGCAGCCTGCCTCAGCACAGAACTCACTCTGGCTGGCACATGCAGATATCTGAAAGTTTGCTCTCTCACAGCAGGATTTTAAGATGATCCTCTGAGTTCAGACAAAATGACAAACTCATTTACATGTAAATTGCTTCGTAGCTTTGCAGAAAGGAAGGTTCTGCAGAGCAGTGTTGGACTCTGCATTTGGCCTGCCTTAAATTATAATATAAAAACAATTATAATAGTACAAATACTACTTGGTACACAAAGCACGCCCTCCCCTGCAAACCCTGGCATGCTTCGGTAGGTCCTACAACCCTCTAGTCAATAATCACCCTCTCTGCACAGAGAGACATTGAGTGACTCGCCTGAGGCCACAGAGGAATTCTGTAGCAAGTCCAAGGAAAGCTTTGTGGCTCCTAGCTCTGCTTCTTGACCAACATTAACCAGCCTCAAATATATGCAAAAAACATCAAAGCTGACTGTGCCGGGAAGAAATTAAATCAGAAAACAAACAGAAAACCAACCCTGGGGTACTGTGAGGCCTCCTGGACTTTGTTGTTTGATCAGGGGAGTTAAGTGTTAAAAGCTTTTGTTATACTTGTATTATGATCACACAGCAATTGCATAAACCTCCAAGTTATCTTGTAGGCAGAAAGGGGTGGAAGGAAAGCTGCACCTCCCCTTGACAAGGAGTGAAGAGTTGTCACCAAAAGACAATGGGAGAGGAAGGCTGGGGAATATGCATCAGAAACAACCTGCAGCAGCAGCAGGGGGTAAAGCCTGCGGTGGTTTGCTGCAGCGTATCCACAGGGCCAGCAGCTCTATGCAGAGACACAAGCTGGCACTGCAGAGACCAGCTCCTCTGCACACCATGTTTTGCTCCAAGGAGGAAGCCACAGGGATCTAGAGAGAGGGTCTCTTCAGACCGATTTTGATGCTTTCCAGTTCAAGTCTATCTGAAAGGAGGAAGGTCAGCAACAAGAGCCACCATAGCGAGGCTAGAGGGGAAAACAGTTGCATTAGGGCAGAACCCTGCTGAACAGGAGAATAGTTGGCTTTATTGAGGCTGAGTCTCCTCTCTGCTATGCCAGGGCAGCGGAGATCTCCACTTCATATGCTTTCAAGCAGCCCCCTGGATCCTATAGAGCTGCTGAAGTTGTCCCTGTGAACAAATGATCCTTTCTAGCTTCTAAAATTCTGTACAATAGCAAGGAAAAAATACTTGACAGTATCTCTTTAAAGATAAACACACTGTAAACAGGAGATCTCCCCCGCCCCGGTAGCTTTCTTCCTCCTGCTTGTGCAAAACCAGAGGTTGCGACCTTCCCTGGGGTTCAGGCACAAGGACAGGATGCATGAGAATAAAGTTGCCTCTGTTTGCAGTGATACCATAGCTAATAGCACCAAGACCAACACTTAAAACATGCCTAACTTGAGGGCAGGGAGGATCTGGGTTTGTTTTTCTTGACTGAACTAGAAAGTTCATCTTTAAATCTGTTCAGCTTCAAGCATGTGAGCTTTTGGCCTCCTTTAAACAGGGGAAATACCATTCTGTTTCTGAAAAGAAAAAAAAATAGCACATGGAAGAACAGTTCTGCAGTCAGTAAAAGTTTGGCTAACAAAAGGACTCCAGAGTCACGTAAAGAACATTTAATCCATGGATTATAGGCTCGCACCTGGCAGAAATGTATGTGTAAATACAGGCGTGCAGAGCGTCTACACCCTGGGCTAAGGCAGAGGGGAGTTCTGCAGCTAGAGAGAAAAAGGATTCTTACTACTAATTTTCATAGTTAAATATTTCTCACTCGCACTCACACATACGCAGGCTGCTCCCAGAGAGTTCAGCCTTGGGAAGGATAAAGGAAAGGGCTCAGTTCGGTCTGGGCTGGTGCTGAGTAGCTCCTCTTCTGTTTGCAGTGGTTGTGCAGCAAACTCTTTTTATTTGCAGGCAGAGTTTTTACTGCATTAATTATCCTGTGAGTCACTGGGTAATGGACAGTAACTTGGCTCTCCCAGTTGTTAGAAGAGTGTAATTCAGCTCTAATGCAGCGGGTTGTCGAACACGGCATCTGGCAAGATGGAAACTTTCAGTTTCTTTTCAGGCCAGCTGTACTCCTTTGGAAGTTTAAACTGTAAGACAGTAAAGAGAAACAGTTAATGCATATTGCTGCAACCTGCATAGAAAAAACCATACTTGTTGCGAAGGCAGGCAGCCCCATGTTATTATTGTTTTTTAAAACAAGAGGCCACTAAGAAAACATTTCCCCATCAGTATGTTTTGGACAGCAGTGGACATTAGATAATGTGGCCTGCGCCACAGCTGCCAAAGTAAAGTTCTGAGCTTTCAGCCCAAGTGCTGTTTATTTCATCAGATGAATGCTGGAGGGTTTCTGCCCCCCGCCCCCCCAATTTCCCCTTCTTAACCTCTCTGAAGGTTTGCAGCCAGAAGTGTCTTCCCTCTTATCTAATCATGTCCCTTTCATTTCACCTACCCCAGCCCCCAGAGCCCACATTTGCTTTAAAAGTAGACTTTGGGCAGCTTTCAAACCCCTGCTCATTCAAGGGTGGGATGCAGGTGAGCCAGCACAGCTCTGCTGGGGGACAGGCTTGCAAATGGCCACCACCTCCAGGAGGACAAACTGTGTTGCCCTGGCTGTGGAAAGCCAGAGTGCCTGCACAGCATCTACAAAGGCTCCACGGAGCCATACAATGCCTCGTGCTCTCACAGGCACTCAGCTGCTCAGGCTGTTTTGCAAACTCTGGTTGAAGCACACAGAATGGAGATTTTTTGCCCCAGTCTGGTTTACACAGCACTGGCTCTGGCCAATGTTTCCCAAACAAGTGCACTGGTCCCATCCTGCCACTCCAGGGCACCCCACCTTAGGCTAGGAAGTCACTCCAAAATCTCTGATCCCAAACACAACCATGCAGGGAGAGATCTCCAAGGAGCCTTACCACCAACCCTTCTCACAACCACATGTGACCAGTGCCCATGCATTCACACAGGTCTCTCAAACACAGGTCTGTGGAGGGTGTGGGATGTGAGAGGTGGAATCTCTTAGGCTACAAATCTGCCCCATCCACAGCTGAATGGCAACAAGTTCTGCATAGGCAGTTCACACCATCCCAGACTGAGGATCCAAAACATGTGGGGGATAGGTCTGGAAGCCAGTTTGCAGGATCATTTTGTTTTCAAAACTCTACTGCACCCAGTGTTGCACTGCCTTGCATTATAATATTCTCTGACACCCTGATGAGACTCCCACTGAGGAATCACACCAGTGACAATCTGACCTGGAGATGGCTAATTCAGAATGGTTATGGATACAGTGGTCCTCTCCTAGGAGAGTCCTCAGACCAAGGCCAGCAACACAATAGGTTCTCAGGGGCAACATGAATTACAGTCGGTACAAGGGGAGAGCAACCTGCAAATCATCCATCTTTATCCAATTACCTGTCTTTCTTTCCAGAAGCACCCTGTTTCTGAAGGACCTTAACACAGGCTCAGTGGCAGGTTCCTGCTAAAGCAGATGCCCTCCAGCTGCTGCTCCACAGCAAGGGCAGCTCTGTCACGAATTTGCTCCTGACCTTGCTCCACTTGCAGCTGCCCACAAGGGTAACCTGTTGTTAGTATCCATTGACCTTAGTATGCTGGCCTGCTGGTTCAGGGTCTTACCCATGATCTAGGGGCATGGCAGGAGGATTCTTCAGGATAGGGGCTACCATAAACTCCCAATCTTTATCCTCTAGGAAACAAACAGCCCAAGTCCCATTTATGGTTGTTTTTTATAAAGTCAAGCCCTGTGTACAGCTTGCACCATGTAACCTAGTGGCAGTGCACTGCCCAGGAAATTCTTCTGAGTTCACTGTCTAGGGCATGTGAAAAACATGCTAAAGATACTCAGACAGATTATTTCACTTAATTTCACCTAACACAGGTGGCTCTTTATGCAGCAATGGAAAGATTCTCCTCGCAGCACTTTGTTCTACCACATGAACATCATCAGCAACAGTCAGGGCTGCTGAGGAATGCCTTCAGTTGGCCCAGCCTGGGATCCTGCAAGTTACAAATCCTTGGAGGAATCTGGATACTGAAAGATCACATTTCATCTCAAGTATTTTCCTTTTTATAAACAGCAGTGGTTCCAAAGCAATCCTCTTGGAGAAGCCATCCTTTGCATTTGTTTGTTTTTCAACTTTTAATTTAGCAAAGTCACAGTAACTCGGAACCGAACTCTTGGTCGCGGTGCCAGGAGCTGCCATGCTCCTTGCCTCTCAGCGGACAGCAGAGGAACATGAGCTGTCCAAAGCCTTAACTAAAGGGCCTTCAAACCAAAGTGCTACTGGGCTTCCACGTCACTAGCAAAAATGAGCTTCGGATTAGGTTTAACTGGATAAAAGCTGGCCTGAAAGTCACTGCACAGCCTGCAGCGTGCTCTCCCCACTCACACAGTGAAGAACACCCTGGCATTAAGTCAACTCTGGATTAAACAATTAGAGCCCTGAGATTTTCTTGGGGGGAGGGGAGCAGGGCAATGGATGGGAGGGCTGCTCTACAAGCCAAGGAAAGTTTCTTTAGAGTCTGCAGGGAGCTGTAAAAAATGGGATTAAAAATATTACATGTCATTTCTGCCACTGCTCTTTGAAGTCAAGCAGAATATTTATATGGCATGCATGGGAGACGGGGTGTTAAATGTTCCCCAGGAAGAGATCACATGGCAGGGGGAAGTTTAGTACCACACAGCAAAGCTTTATAAAGCTCCCCTGGCTGCTGCTGTAACGTTTCCAGGCTGGTGATGGTCCTCTGCACGCCGTGCAGGGGCAGCAGGTGAAGGCCAAATAGCAGATGTGAGAAAGCCCCTGCCTGTTTCCAAAACCAAAAAAAGAGGCTCATACAACAGATTGTTCAGCAGTAAATGTGCTGCCACCACTTCCAGCCTTTCTGAAAGCAGGGAAGGTGATGTACTTGGAGCTGCTTGCAAGGACACTATCTCTGCATGGCATGGAGGAAACCCCCCACAGGCAGGGGCTGCACTGGTTTGATTTGGGATGCTCAGATATCATGTTGGGAAAGATGCTGGTGGAAAGGAAATGCAGAGTCTCTCTTAATATCTATCCCTGTCCTGTATTTCTTGCAATCCTTTCTCTCAGTGCCTCAGTTCACAGCAGATGTGAAGGTTTAGCAAGGCCTCAAGTCTGTGGGGCAGGCCCACAGCCTGCAAGCTGAGGGGAGGATCAAAGGCAAACTGCAGGATGGGCTGAGCTCTCTGTGACAGTACATGGAAGATATGGGAACGATGCAGCCTTACTTCCTCTGGAGAATTCAGATCTTCTAAATCTTCCAGCATTCTCTCTACGAACTCTTCGGTCAATAGGATCTGCAATGGAAATACAGTAGTTTATGCCTTCACACTCTTAGTTTTAGCCAATTGCCAGGAGACAGCATGGCTTCTGCAGAGAGCAGACTGTACCAACTCACTCCTTCCCCTGTGTCCTTCTTTCCCACAATACAAAGGTTTGAGGGCAAGGAGCTCCTAACTTTGCCTTCCACCCCAACCACTGAAAAAAATGTTGAAATTATACAGCAATCTTTTTTGACCCTCAATTATCTTCCTCAGTCTAAAATTAGAGGCTCGGCTTTAGACAGACAGAGTGGGGAAGGAGGAAAAAGGGTCAAGATAACAACTGTTGGAGAGACAGTGGGAGACAGCCACTTTTATCTGATCCATTGAAGTTAAGCTCACAGTTTAATCAGGAAACAGCAGCACAGGAAGAGACTGGGACCTGTGCAGAGTTGATGCTCCAGGCATGGGGAAGGCTTTGGCCCCGGTGCAGCACATTGTTCAGATGAACCAGATGCTGGCTATGGGAGGTGCTCCCAGAGGTCCCCATGCTCGGCACCTCCATGTTGGGATGGCACATGCCCATCTTGCATGCCTGTGTTGGGAAAACTTTTGGCTCATCTCAAAGCCAGCTGGCAAGCATGAAGCAGCCCAAGAAAACAGCTGCTGTCAAGTCAACAGTCCCGGATGCAGGCCAGGACCCCAGCTCCATGGAGTCCCCCAAGTCTCAGAAACCAGAGACACCATGGGGGAAACCAGCCCCAGGAATTCAAGTGGAGGAACTCCCACCCTCTTTTAAAAACCACGTGATAGCCAAAAGCAAACATATCCTGCCCTCTTCACAACAGCCGCAAAGGCCAGAGCTCCAGGCAGGACAGCTGGTTTGGCACAGGAGCAGAGCCGGCAGTGCAGGACCAGGCAAACATCCCCACGCAGTGAGGGGGCCTTGGAGCAGCATTCCTGGGAGTTAGGTTGCAGCAGCATCCAGTGGATTATTATTCCCATTTTAGCCTACAGGTTTATTTCTTTTCCCCTGCTCCTCCTTTCCTTCCTTCGGTCCACCCTTTCCTCCATCTCTGGCATTACTTTCCATCCTGAAGCAACCACCATCCCCATGCCCCCTTTTGCACCCCTCCCTTTCCCTGTTCTTCCCAGTCACGATCCACATGCTCCAGAGAAGGGACCTGTCTAGCACTAAACACTGCTGGAACTAAGTGCCCAGCTGCACTGCTCCCCAGCTCACACCGGGAAGAGGGGCAGCCAGGCTGTCCCATCGCCATGCAGGAAGCCACCTCCCGTGCCCACCGGCAGCTTGGTGCCAGGAACATCAGTGGAGAGCAAGTGACTGCCAGGGTGCCACGGGCAAGTGGAAGCCTCTGGGCTCCATTTTGGCAATGCATAGGCAGGACTATTGGACAGAAAGAGAAAGGGAAGATTCTGGTCTCCTTTCTTTGTTTGGCAAGAGAAGAGATCCAAAACCATCAAATCCAGATCCGAGAGCTACCAGGTGTATGCAGTCCTCTCCCCTCAATCATGCCACCCTGCTGTCATTGTACACAGATTTCTCAGGGGACAAGGGAACCACTAGCTCCTTTCTCCACTGCATTCCTCTCTTCACTTAACTTCAATGTGCAGCAGGCTCCAGGCTGGGGTTTATGACCAAGCTGCTCAGCATGGATGCAGGCACCTTCACCAGGCCTTTTTAATCATACCTTGAACCTGAAAAAACCCTGCTTCAGCTAGGAGCCAGGACCTTGCTGCTTTGGACAGGACTCTGCAATCTGGCACCAATCTGCAGACTGGCAAGCTGAGGAACGTTGCACTGAAAAGTGCAGTACCACCACAAACTGCTGCAGTCTCCTTGCAGGGGCCTGTAACTATTCTGCCTGTTGAATTGGAGATACTCATTTGCTGACTGTTTGCAGGAGGAGGGAGACGTCTGTCCATGTTGGAGGCTGGAGAGCAACCTGATCGCTCAGCTCAGAAGGAAGAGCTGGGTGGGGAGCCGGGGCTCTGCGCAGAGCAGATCGCTTTCTGCGGAGGTGCAGTCTGCAGTGGGGTGAGGGAATGAAAACAATTTGGCAGACATCAAAATCTACAGAACAGCCGGAAAAAGGAGGAGGAATTGGTATTCACAGCAATCAGGCCAGGAGGAAATGAATATTCAGCCATCCACGGATGAGTAAAAATGCCAGAGGTTGGGATGGGTGAGAGAGCAGGAATGAGGAGCTGCAGCTTTGGCAGGGAGACTAGAAGACAAGCACAGCAGGAAGACCCCTGGGTGCTCCCAAGGTGCCAGAGGCAGGAGAGAAATGGGAACCACGTGTGCGAGGCAGCCAGCTGCTCTGAGGCTGGAGGAAAACAAGACACGGTATGAAGGGGTAAACAGCAAAGGGTGGAGACAGGGAAAGAGGGGACAGGTCAGGTCCTGGCTACGCCACAGACTGCCAGAGTACCTACAAACCTATGTGGAGCACTGTGGCTAGCACCGAAACTGGGTGAAATGCCTTGAGATGGCTGAGCCCATCTGCAGCTCACTGCCCCCTCTCTGTATGCTGGTAATCCAGCTGAAAAAAACTCCCAAATTCCACTAATGTACTGAGCTGAACTGGCTCCCTGAAGGGTCTGACAAGTGGAGTGGGACAGGAGTCCACAGCTCAGCTGTCTGGTGGACTACATTTGGGGGTTCAAAGCAATGGCAGCCTGCTCTACACTGAGGAAAGATCACAGTGCTGTTCTGCCAGCCCTGCATGGACAGTTAACTTTGGCAGAGGGCAGGAATCACAGGCTGCAATGACAAACTGCTGCAGTGACATTCACACACACAGAGCGTGTCTCTCAGAACCCATCCTTAACAGTCCAAGTCAGAAAAAAACCCACCCCAAACCCTACTACCCCATGCTGCTGGGAGACCTGCCTTCCTTCCTGGAGAAGCAGGGAGACTCCAAAGTGCTGATGTAACCAAATGTACAAGCAGCCTCATCCCTCAATACAGGAAACTGACACTCTTGAGCTCTCCTGAGGATGCAGGGGGAAGGCATGTGCCAGCAGCTCACCAACTGCTGAAGAGGGCTTGGAAGCAAGAAGTATTGTCATCCTGGATTCGCGTCTAGACAAGATTTCTCCTGTTAGAAGTAGCACTGTCAAAAAGGCCCAAGAGCACTAAGGCCTGTGCTCATAGATCAGGCTACCATATCCACCTGCAATCAGCAAAACCACCTTCATGCTGGTGAGTGAGTCTTATGGAGAAGATGAGAATAAATCCAATCCCATCTCAATGTTACTCACAATATTTCACATTTCCAGTTCTTGTAGCATGCCTGCTCCTGCACAGTATGGTACCCCATTACATTAACACACACACAGACACACACACATATTATATGTGCATGATATTAAAGGTGACATTCCCAGGAAATAAACATGACAGACTGCCATTGCTCTAGGCACCTAATTTAATTTCCTCTGGGATTTAAACCTTAGAAGCTCAAATTAAACAAATAGGCCCCATTCACTTTATACTTCAGACCTGAATCTACAGTTTTCCTCTGATGCTTTTAACTGATCTTATCAACAGGACACTCCACAGAGATCCCAATGATGAAGCAGCTTATTCCCTTCCCAAAGGAAAACAGAGCCTCACTGTTGTGCTGCAGCCATGGGAAAAGCCGGCGCAATCTGCAGGGCAAACGAAGCCATCCCATGCACACTGAACAAGCCTTTTCTCCCATGAAATCTCTCGGCTGGAGCTGAGGAAGCAAAGGAGCGGTCCTCTGCGGTGGTGGGTGTCCCGGGTGCTGCAGCAGCCCAGTGCTCACAGGGTTGTTTTCACAGCCCTGTGCAAACATTTGGTCAGCCCAGCCTGCCAAAGCTGGTTACAGGGTGCAGCTCAGCACTGGCAATGGCTGTTTGCAGTATGAACAGTGAACGGCCTTGCCAGCCAGCTGCGGATATCTGAAACATCTCCTTGGGTGCTGCACAGTCCTGCTCGCACCAGGATCTCTCTGACCTGACCTAGAGAGGCCTGGACACAAGCTATCCCATTGCTAGCAGATCTAGATTCCATTTGCCATGTGTTTTGTGGCACCTAGTCATGCTACAGATGCTCGGAAGATGATCACTAGACAAAAGAGTTTTCTATCACAGGTACCTCCTGCACGGCTGAGGTCTGAAGTTTGGGTTCTCACGACTTCACTAACAGCTGCATGTGTCCAGACATGTTACAAAATACCAGGCTAGGCTGTCTCATTCAGGTGGATGTGTTCAGGGAACACATGCTGTCTCCCTCTCGTGGCAAGTCTCACCTGAGCTTGCTGAAATCTACTTCTTACCTACAGGGCTTACCTATGGGTCCTTACCTGAAGGAGTTTGTGTGGAAGCTTTCAGTGTGGAAGCTTTCATACCTGCAGCTGGCTGAGAAACCTGTACCGTGACTCATTACAGTTACATGGCTGCAAGTGTATGAAAAGAGGTGAAATCTAAAAAATGTACACAAAGTCATGGGGCTCCAGATGAGTTCAGCTCACTTTGAAAGCAACTGGTGCTTAGTAAAACATTAAAGACTTTATAGTCAGCTTACAGGTACGACCCCACAGTTAATTCCCCATCTCTTGCTACAGGGTTCGACACTCCCATGAGAGCTTGAAATTGTCTGCTCAGAAAACGCTGCTAAGACCAGAGGTCACACTGATGTTGAATGCCTGGTACAGCTGGAAAGACTTCAATGAAGGAAGACCCATAGAAGCTGAACTAGGAGTTGAGCTGCAGCTCTGTCCAACTTCAGGAAACACACTTTGTCCAGGGCAAGACACAAGCAATTGGCCCAGGTACAGTGAAGCAGAGGTGCTTTTACTGACAATACTCTCTTTTCTTGCCTACCTAGGAAAAAAACAAACAATCCCACACTTTGCCCTAGTGCTTTGTTTGCATTAAACACTTGCTCTTCTAGCAGGTTTGTCAAAGAAAGAAAACCATGTTTTATTAGTTCTGGACTTAGTACAGAGCTGGCTTGTATGGCCTAGCCAGAGAAGGTGGGG